CCCCCCCCCCCGCCAAACTCACATATGACAAACAACCCCTTTTTAGATAAAGCTGCCATTTGCTGAAGCAATCCTTACAGCAACTTTATGAAGTTGTTAGCATCATTCCCATTTTAGAGATGTGGAAACTGAGGTTCTCAGGGCTTACGTAACTTGCTCACAGTTACACAGCTAAATGGTGGCTGAGCTGAGCTTTGAACCCGTGTCTGCCTGTCTTGTAGAGCACCCTTGACCACATAGCTCTGCTTCCACCACCCTCAGAAGTCTCAAACAGGTCCTTGTCCCTCCAAAGGTTAAGAACTCCTGACCCTACACATGCCTCATATTAGGGACAAGGAAGCTGAGACGCATACAGAGAAGATGACTTGCCCAAAGTCCACAGCAATCTGTGCCCTAGCGGGGATGAAAGCCCAAGGCTCCTGATTCCCAGCTCGCTGCTCTTTCCATTGGCTCTGTCCTCCTTGGTTGAGACTGGGTTAAGGATTAGTTCTTCTCACTCTTGTAGGGTTAGGCCCTGGCGCTGGCGTTGGCGGGGTTCCCGGCCTTGGCGTTTTCCCCGGTGCTGGCGGGGTTCCTGGTCTTGGCATTGGCCCCGGCGGCGTTACAGGTAAGTTGTGTGAGAAAGTGGGCCTGAGGAGCCTCTGAATCCTCCGTGGCTGACACCCTGACACCCCCTCCTCTCCATCCAGGAGCAGGGACCCCGGGTGCCGCCAAATCTGCTGCTCAATTGGCCGCCAAAGCCCAGCTCCGTGAGTGCCCTGCCTGGCTTTCCCTCCTCACCCACCAAGCGCGGGCTGGCCCAGCCTGGCCCCGGCGGGCGCTGGGCCCCACAGTATGCAGGCTCTCAGGTCCACTGCAGGCTGGGAGGTCCCCGAGGCCGCAGACAAGGGGTTGGAAATGCAGATTTAGCAAAGGAGAGACCCAGGTTCCAATCCTGGGCCCCACACGAGCTGAGTGACCTCTGAGTTTCCTGTCCTCGGGCGTGACATGTGGGTGCTGATGGCGCCTGCTGCAGGAGGTTGTTGGGAGAATTAAATGAGTTCATCCAGAGGGAAGAGTGGAGGTTGGGCTGGAAAGGAAAGCGGTGTCGTGAGTGTGCAGCCCTGAATGCCAGCGGGGGGAGGGGCTGGACTTGGTGGTCAGCGGGAGCTCTCGGAAGGCCATTCTGGTGGCAGCACGGAGGGTGGATTAAGGGGTCTGGCCCCTTCGCTTGGGGCCTATCTCGGCTCCCGGGCAGGACACCCCACAGGGGCATGCTTCCTGCCTGCTATCACCATCCCACTGCCCATCTTTCCCAGGGGCTGCCGCTGGCCTTCCTGCTGGCGTTCCTGGATTTGGAGCTGGTGCTGGCGTTCCCGGATTTGGAGCTGGTGTTCCCGGATTTGGGGCTGGTGCTGGTGTTCCTGGCTTTGGGGCAGGTGCGGGTGCAGGTGAGAGGCCTTCTAGCCTGGGCAGAAATGACCCCTGAGCTCAGAGAAGGGAGACTGCATGCTCCCTCCCAGCACATCCCCCAGCACCTCATCGAAGGGCTCATAGTGAATTCCCCATTAGGTTCTCCTGAGCAGTCAGATGACTAGGGTAACAGATGGGGGGCAGGCCAGGCGAGGAAGCCCCAGGCTGCATGGGTGGGCCCACCTGGCTTGACCTCAGCAGTACACTGTGGCCACTAGGAGCTCCAGTTTCTCACCTGGTGGTTACTGAGCCTGAAGGGGCTGGGAGGGGCAGAGGGAAGGAGGAGGCACAGTCCAGCCCTCAAGTGCTCCCAGACCAGACTGGCAGAGACATGGTTAGTGACCGGAGATCTACCCGGGCAGGGTGAGCTCCTTGCTGGGGAGCCACAGCTTCAGGGCTTTGAGAGGAGCAAAGAAGACCAAGGAAGGCAGGGAGGGCTCCCAGGAGGAAGCAGTACCCCTCAGCACAGAGCTCAGCTGCTGACCACCCCACATTTCCTTTTTCCTTTTTCTGCAGTACCTGGATCCTTGGCTGCTGCTAAAGCAGCCAAATATGGTGAGTGCCCCCACACTGGCCACCACGGTTGGTTCCACTGATGCCCCACCATCCCTGATGCACTGGTCACCCATCTCCCCTCCCTCTGGGCCAGGGCCCCATGCCCGGCGCCTGCAGCACAGGGCTAGGATGGTCAGGGTGGAAAAAGGCAGTTTCTAGGACACGTTCATGACAGCTTAGCAGACCTGGCTCCTGCCCATGAAATGCCTATCGAGCCTCCAGACCTGGGACAACCAAAGAGGCCCCTCACACTTCCGGCCTCCCTGGGTGCAAGTCCACCTTGGTGAAAACCGTGGTCCCCAGGGGCCCCCTCTGGCCCTCAGTTTGTGGGCCCAGGGCAGGGTTGCTGTCAGCGAGGCAGCTTCTGCCTCCTGGCCAGCAGAACCCCGGCCCCCCGCCCATTTCCCAGTCAGCATGACTGCGCTGCCACGAGCCACGAAGACGTGGCAGACAAGCCTGCCCCTCCACTTGGCACTCAGCAGCCCTGGCTGGCCAGACCCACACTGTCTGTGGCCCCTGAATTCTTGGCCTTCTGAGAGCCAGGCCAGGGCCCCTGCCAGGGAAACACCAATCAGCCCGGCCAGTCCACTTGGGGCCAGTTTCCACCTCGGAAAATCCCAGTCTCCTCAGTCCCACCCCTGGCGGGCCTGGTGACCCACAAGCCTTTTCCTGTTCCTTGCTGGCTGCTCTGCCAGCCGGAGTCTAGTGCATTTTGCCAGGGAAACAAAGCAGCTAAGGGGACAGGCTCCAAAGCCACTTCCTGCCTGTGGCACCTTGAGCATATTGCTTAACCTCTGCTGTGTCTCAATTTTCTCATCTGCAAAGTGGGGATGACGATAGTCCCCACCTTTCCTGTTGCAATGAATAATAGGCAGGCTAATCTGTGAGAAGCACCGAGAACTGTGGAACTCCTGCTGCCGCTATTCGTAGCAGCTCTGCTCGGGACAACAGTTCAAAACTCAGGGCACATTCCCCGATGGTGTGCTCTTTCACTCTCCAAACACCTGTAGGGTGAGTGGGGTAAGGATCCATCATCTCCTTTAGGGAGAGATGGCAGCTCAGAGAGGCTCTAATGAGTGGAGAAAGCAGGATTGGAACCCAGGACTGTCAGTACCTGAGGCTAGTCTTCCTTCCTCCGCAGCTTGTGGCCACCTGTGGCTCCAGTGCTAGCCCAGGGGGAACGAGAAAAGATGGGTAGGCCAAGGCCCAAGGAAGCTCACTCTTTTCTTTCTTTCTTTTTTTAAATAGAATTTTATTGATTTCAGAGAAGAAGGGAGAGGGAGAGAGAGAGAGAAAAGTATCAATGATGAGAGAGAATCATCAATTAGCTGCCTCCTGCATGGCCCCTATTGGGAACCAAGCCCACAACCTGGGCATGTGCCCCGACCAGGAATCGAACCGTGACCTCCCAGTTCATAGGTTGTCATTGAACCACCGAGCTACACTGGCCGGGCAAGGAAGCTCACTCTTGACTGATTGGTCAAGGACATGGGCCCAGGTGTCTGGGAATGGACTTCTGTCCAGTGCTCCTTCCACTGGGTCACGTGGCCTCGATCACCTGTCTGCTTGACTAATGCCCCTGTGTCAGGGAGACCCTGTCCTTCAGAAATGGGGGACTGACTCTGCCCCTCTTCTCAGGAGCAGGAGGGCCTGGGGGCCTTGGCGGGGTTGGAGGCCTTGGTGGTCTTGGTGGAGTAGGTGTCCCAGGTGGTGTGGCAGGTGAGTTGAAACCCCAGGAGGGGCTGGGCAGGGAGGGAGACGGACCGTGGAGAACTGCTCCCTGAGCTCCCTCTGTGTCCTCAGGAGCCGGACCTGCTGCTGCGGCTGCTGCCGCCAAGGCTGCTGCCAAAGCTGGCCAATATGGTGAGCGCTGTGTAGAGGTGGGGGCTGCCAACAGTCCCCAGGGTTTGGGGGGCCTCAGACCATGCACTGTGGAGCACTATTCCCCCCAGGGCCCAGCCACCTCCTGACCCCACGTCGGTGGTAAAGGCTCTGGAAGCTCAGGCTCCGCCTGGGGACTGCCTGGGGACTGGGAGGAAAACTTCAGCTCTTCACAGTCGAGCGGCAGGGGTCTCGCGGATGGGGTTTTAACACCCAGCTCTCTCCGCAGGCCTTGGGGGAGCCGGTGGACTCGGAGCTGGCGGGCTCGGAGCTGGAGGACTGGGACTTGGAGGTGTCCCAGGGGCTGGGGGCTTTGGAGGTAAGAGGCTGCTCTAGAATCTATTAGTTTATTCTGTGTGAATGAGAGAGAGAGAGAGAGAGAGAGAGAGGGACCTTCCCATTTGCCACATCTTGCTCACTCAGGGCTGTGGTGGGTCTGCCCCCTTCTCTGGCTCCTCTGGCGTTTCGAGGGGCCTGATCGAGCAGGAGCGAGGGCTGCTTCTGGCAGCTGGGACCCGACCCTCCCTCTCCCTCTCCTCTCCTTCCACCCCCATGACCACATCCAGTGGGAGTTCATTGGGATAATGATGGTCATGCCCACTTGCTGGGGAAGAAAACCAAAGCTTGGACGGAATTACTTTTCCAAAGTCTCTGCCATCCTGGCTGTTCTTGTGTTGACATGTCACTCTTTCTTGGGTCGTCATTGTATCTCCCTACCTAAACCTGCCTGAAGTCTCTTCCTGTGTGTGCCACAAGACTGGACACACAGTAGGTGCTTAATAAAGACTTTTGGAAAGTTGGATAAAGGAGGGGTGGAGGGATGGCGGAAGGATGAGTCGGTGGGCAGATGGTAAACAGTGAGCAGGTCAGAAGGGGGACATGACTGGGAGGGAAGGGATATTTCTGGGCTCTCATGCACCCCATCTCCCCAGGTGTGTCCCCAGCTGCAGCTGCTAAAGCAGCCAAATATGGTGAGTGGCTCCCTGCTGCCCTCCTCCTGCCCAGGCCTGTAGGCTGCTAATATGCCCCATCCTGACCAACCCGTCTCACCCACTCAGGCCTCAAGCCTGCTCAGTCCTAACAGCCTGTCCGGGGTCTCCCTGGCCCCAGAACCCGGAGGGGAGGCTCATGACTCCTCAGACTGTACCTTGTCGCAAACCCCATCTGCCCTCTTCTCAGGTGCCGCTGGCCTTGGAGGCGTCCTAGGAGCTGCCAGGCCATTCCCTGGTGCAGGTAGGGCCATCTCTGCTGTGCAACCCTGGGACTGCAGCTAGCACAAGGCCACAAGGGGGAGGGGAGAGGGGAGAGGACAGAGGGGAGAGGGAACAGTCCAGGAAAGGAAACATCCTGGGCAGAGGGGCAGGCCTCAGTGTCAGGGGCACCGTGGGCCTCAGGCACCAGGCTGGCAAGCTGAGGCGATGGGGTCCCACACCAGGATGTGAGGCAGGGACAAGGTTTGTGAAGAAAGCCACTCTGACCATGGAGAAGGGGAGGGGGGTAGTGGGCAGAGAGAAAGAGGGGGCGAGGCTGGAGTGGGGCCTGCCCCATGCCAACCCCAAGTCCCTCCTGCAGGAGTTGGAAGACCTGGCTTCGGATTGTCTCCTATTTTCCCAGGTATGCCCCGGCTTCCTACCCTGTGCCCTGTGCTGCAGCTCTGGCCCCAAGCCTTCCCCTCCCCTGCTTCATCTCCTGCTCAGGAGGGCTAGGTCAAGCCCCAGGAGGGGTCCCCTATCCTCAGGTTACACCGCGCTGGGCTCCCTTTATTCTTCTCTTCCCCCCTTGCAAGGCCAGGGAGCATCAGCTTTTCTGAAACACCAGTTCCAAATGGGGTAAACTGAGGTTCATAGAGTACCAGGGACTGACCCAAGGTCACACAGTGAGTGAGGCAGAGCCAGGCTCCCAAGCCCAGAACCTGGCCCCTCTCAAGCGAGGCCCATGCTGCCAGGAGGCCTTGGCAACTCCCAGAAGTGGCACACTCACCGCCCCTCTCCTGTGTTGCAGGTGGCGGAGCCGGAGTCGGGGCTGGGGGCCTGGGAGTTGGCGGTGAGTCTGCAAGAAGAAGGAGGGGCCCCACTTCAAGCAATGCTCTGAGCTCCTCTCCTGGGGTGGAGGGGGGAAGAGTCCTGTTGAGGGAGTGGCTAGTATGACCACACCCTTGGCTGGGCCTCTGGTGTGGGGGCTTGAGGGGAACCACAGAAGCTGACGGTTCAGGCCTGGAGTGTGGGGATAGGAGGCAAGGATTCTGACTCCTAGAGGTCCCGGCCTGGCACTTGACTAGGCACCCGGACTGAGACAGGGACCTGGGTCACCCTGGAGCTTGGGGTCTAAGTGCTGAGACTGACAAGCTGCCATAGAAAAAGGAAGAAACTGTAAGGGAAGAGCAAGGTCCATCAGGCAGGCAGCCGGGGGGGGGTCAAAACCTCTCTGATACCAGCATGCTAGCTGGCAAGGCTGGGTCTGGCTATGGTGGGAGGGGCACCCTCCAAGCTGCTCAGACCTCTATATGCAGGATATGATCCGCAAGGCCTTCAGACCTGCGGTGATAGGATCCAGGCCCTATATGGTGGGGGTCCTGAGAGAGGCAGGAAAGCCAGGTCCCCTCCCCAATCCCTACCTCTCCTCCCACAGGCAAACCTCCCAAGCCCTATGGAGGTGCCCTGGGAGCTCTAGGGTACCAAGGTGAGTGGAGCAGGGAAGACAGTATGGAAGGAGGGGCAGAGACAGAGGCAGAGGCTGGGCCCATCAGTCTGGGAGAGTGGGGAGCACGTTTGGACTAAGCCTGGCAGCAGTGGGGAGGCTGGAGGAGCTGTACGGCTCACCCATCCCTTCTTCTGCCTCCAACACAGCTGATCAGAGCTGAGAGTAGGCCAAGGACCCTCCATACTCACCCAGCCTGGCCTGGCCTAGCAGTCCCTGCCTCCCTGATGCCCACATGACCTCCCCACCCCCCGCCCACTTTCAGGAAGGAGCCAAGAGAAAGAGAAGGGAGAGGAGGGGGGAAGAAGTCAGAGAAGCAGACACAGAGGGAGAAAATGGATGAGATGATGGGAGCCATAGGGTTAGGGAAATCTGAAGGGTGGGCAGGGTGCCCAGGCTGGGCAGAGTGGGCAGGGGCCACTACCTGGCACCGAGGCACACCCTTGCTCACAAGTGCACACACGCTGCTGGAAGTGTGCAGGGTGGGTCCTGATCACCACCTCCCAAGCTCCTCCCAACAATGCCCAAGGGAGACCCAAAGAAGCCGCAGCTCCACCCCTACGGTTGCTCAGACTGTGGATTCCCTTCCACCACCCCCTCCCGCCTGCCCCCGCCTGCTTCCCGCTACACAGATGAGGCAGCTGAGGCAAGGCCAGCCTGGCCCTTTCCAGGGTGCCCAGTGGTGCCTGTGGCCATAGCCTCTTGCTTTCCAAGCACCCTGGATGAGCTTCGCACAGCCTGTCCCTGCCCCACTTGGCTTCTCACTGCCACCAGGTGGCGGTAACAAGCCATGTCTATCTCCCACAGGGGTAGGAATTGCTCCAGCCCTCCAACCAGAAAATGGTGCCTTGATGATTAGAAACAAGGTTTCCCAATCAGACCCTCCCCAGGAGAGGGCAGGGGTCCCGTCCCAAGTTAGCCACTGACTGTGGATGAGTAAGGCTCTCACTCTCTCTGGGCCTCAGTTTACTTATTTGAGGCACTGGAATGTTTGTCACACTATCTCCCTTGTTGGGGGGTGCTCTGAGTCACTCACTAAAGGCTTCCCAGATGGGGTGGATTCAGAGTATAGAGACCTTGCCCAGGCCCAGTCTTTCCCAGACCTGGACCCATGGCCTGGCCTCTTCCCTTCTCTGAGACTTAGTTTCATCAACCACATCTTGAGCCCTGGTCCCACTCACCTGTCCAGTGGGAGTTTGTACGATGAGTTTGGCCTGGGGTGGAGCCCAGGCTTCTGGAGGCTTCTTGGGTCCTCTGTTCCCCACGGTGATGATGTTGGAATTGGTCAGTGGGCAGTGGCGTGAGCAGCAACGGGGAGGGGCCAGATTAACCTTGTGTGTGCCCCTCCCACCCAGGTGGAGCCTGCCTGGGGAAATCCTGTGGCCGGAAGAGAAAGTGAGCTTCCCAGGACCCCTGACTCACGACCTCATCAACGTTGGTGCTACTGCTTGGTGGAGAATGTAAACCCTTTGTGACCCTCCCCTCTACGCCCCCGCCTACGTCCCACCTCTGGAGGGGACAGGGCTGGCCGGGCGGACTTGGAAATCCACAGGACAAGGAAACAAGAGAACGGTGGCCAAGTGGGCCCTGGGAAGACCCTACTTCAGAGGCGAGGGGTGGGTGGGCTTGGCCCCCTGCCCCCACCCCCTTCCCACCCAGGAGCTCCCCCTCCATACACTCTCCATCTCCAGGGGAACTCGGTGCTAAGTGCTGGTGCTTTCATCTTCCCAGGGGAGGGAGGAGGGCAGGGCAGCCCCTCTGGAAGCCCCCTCCCTGGGGCTCCTCTGAAAATGGTGCAGACACTTCCTAGGCAGTCCCACCTCCCCCTGCCCACCAGGACCCACCCCTGGCTGCGGTCCAGTTGGTACCCAAGCATCACAAACCTCAAGCTGGATTCGGTCACACCATCTCTTGGCCCCGTTGGCTCCCTTTTCCTCCACCAATCACTGTTCCCTATATCGGGGGCACCTCAGATCAGAAGAACCCCAATGGGAATAGCCCTCTTTCTCTTGTGGAATTCATCCGCCCATCTGTCCATCCATCCATCCATCCATCCATCCTTGCCCTCAGTTGTCCACCTGGCACCACTAGCTGGCTGGGCACCCCAACCATCAACCTGGTCAACCTGTATGGCAGCATGTGCCCTGCCTTTGCCCCCCCACACACACCCCTACAAAGGGGCCTAGGGTGTGAGGCGCGGTGCCAGCTGGGGCGGCAGGAACCTCCTCCCTAACCTGGGTCCCCCCACGCAGTACTGTATCCCCCCATCCATCCCTCGAGCCACTGTACTTCACAGCATCTCCCACCCTGCCCCGCCCATCTCTTTGTGTCTCGCTGTGATAGATCAATAAATATTTTATTTTTTGTCCTGGATATTTGGGGATTATTTTTGATTGTTGATGTTTTCTCTTGATTTTATTTTTGTGATTAATTGAAAAAAAAATTTTTTTTTCTGATCTGGGGAGCTATATCCCCAGAAGAAAATTCATTTTAATCACTTTGGTATAACTCTGGATGAAACACACATTTTTTAAAATAAGAAAAGAGGATTAACTGCTTCAAAAAAGACTAATAAATGAAAATATTTTAAAGGAAACTGTGTCTTGGCCTCCTTTGTAATCCCCTCGTCTGCCGCTGGCTCCAAGCCCAGATAGGGAACAGGGCTCGGCCTTGGGAAACCTCCACTGTTCAAGGTGTATTTGGGGGGCTGCTCACCAGAATCCCCTGCTGTTGGCTTCCGAGGTTTGATCCTTCTCCAAGTTTGGATTGTCCTTTAACAATGAAAACACCTTTGTAGGGGAAACAGGGCCGGCCAGTCCCCCCTCAACCCCCCCCACCACCACCACCACCTCCCCTCTGCCACACATGCCTGCCCACGGTGGGTCTCCTCTGGAGGTGGGCTGACCTACCCAGCCACGCAGTCCCCAGCCCTTGCCCCATACAACTAAGATGAGCACAGGGACTGGTGACAGCCTCTGAGCACTGAGGGTGCAGCTGGAGGGGAGGAGTAGACAAAGTGACCCTTCTATCCAGACCAAACCCTTGGCCTTGGTGAACAGCAGTACAGAAAGGAGAAAACGGCCCTACCTACGAAAACTAGAGGATGCGTTTTCCTCCGAAACATCCACTCTCACACATGGCCAAGTAAGGTACCACTTCACTGCCTTATAAAACATAACAGCCCTGCCCAGTTTGGCTCCGTGGATAGAACGTCAACCTGTGAACTGAAGGGTCCCAGGTTCGATTCTAGTCAAGGGCACATGCCCAGGTTGAGGGCTCGATCCCCAGTGGGGAGTGTGCAGGAGGCAGCCAATTGATGATTCTCTCTCATCATTGATGTTTCTATCTCTCTCTCCCTCTTCCTTCCTCTCTGAAATTAATAAAAATGTATTAAAAAACCACACACACTAAAACTTTCATTTAAAAATAAAATAAAATAAAATATAACAAATGTCACCTGCAGGTGGCACTGGAGACTCAGTACCACTCTTAGATGCACCCATCTGCAGAGACATCCCCCTCCCTTTGGGGCCAGAAATCCATGGGGCCTGGGGCCATGCCTACCACTCCCTTCTGGACTAGCTCTGGAAACCAGATTCCGGAATTCCTTCCCCAAACCACCAAGTCCACTTCAGGGACCACATGGCCTCATGCCTGCATCTGACCTCCTGGGGCAGACTCCAGGGCCAGTGACACACCCTTAAGTCAGAAGGGTGGCTAGGGAGCTATTTGTTGGGAGTGTGGATGGAGTAGGCAGACTGGACTCTTAAAAACTAGAAGACGCATTTGTTTGAAAGGACCTGTGCAGTGCAGAAGGAGTGGGATGGAAAGAGAAAGAGGATGGGATGATGCTCAGAGAGAGCTTCCTAGAGGCTAGTAGAGTGCAAAAAGCAATTTATCAGGCAAAGAATAAAGCCGGGAGGAGCATCGTGCCTGTCGAGCAGGGAGAGCAGCCTGTGTAAAGGCCTAGAGGGCAGGACAGTGGGAGTGCCCTAGTGAGCCAGGGCAGAGCTAAGAAAAGATGGAAGGTGAATCTGAAGTTGGTAGGGGGTGGGTTCATGGAGACCCACAGGGGACTGCTGTGGCCATCAGTGAGGAGTGACAGCCTGCCCAAGAACAGTGGCAAAGGAGATTCATTCATTCATTTATTCCTTCAACAAAAACATCCCTTGTGATCCGTCTTCAGTTCTCTGGCCTCTGAAAGTTGGCCAGCTCCAGCTGGGGGCATCATTGCTGCTTTGGTTTCTTATGGTTCACGGCGTTAAATACAACCCATGAAGTGGCAACTCCCAAAGCGATACCTCCAGCAGAGAGCTCCCCCCTAAGCTGCAGCCTTGCACACCCAAGGCCAGTTCTTATGTCTCTACCTGGAAGTCTCAAAGGCATCAATGCACAGCATGGTTCCCCACCCCACACCCCGCCCCACCATCCCAGCTCAGTAGAAAGCATCTCCAGTGGGTCAGGCTGGCAGCTTGGAGCCATCTCTGGATCCTCTCCTCCCACTCCCCATAGCAGATTCGCCAGCAAGCTCTGCGATAGATCTATCTTCAGAAGATATCCAGAGTCCAGCCACTTCTCACAACCTCCGCGGGCCGCCAGCAGCTAGTGCCTGGAATTACTACACAGCTTCCTAACTGGCTCTCTGATTCTGCCCTGGCTCTCCAAACAGCCTTCTCTCCACACAGCAGCCAAAACAATTCTCTTACAATGTAAGTCAGTTCAGGTCATGTGTCTGCTCAGAATCCTGCAATGGCTCTCATCTCACTCAGGCACAAAGCCAGCAGCCTTTCAAAGGCTCAAAAGCTCCTACCTGAGTTGCACCAGCTGTTCTGACCTCACATCCTGCTACTCAGCCCTCCACCAGGCCATGCGGTTACACCAGGCCATGCGGGCCCTCTTGTTCTTTCTGTGGGCAGCCAGTCCCCCATTGCAGGCCTCTACGTCTGCTGTCTCTCCTGCCCAGAATGCTCTTTCCTCAGCTATCAATGCGCTTGGCTCCCTCATCTCCTTCAGGTCTTGACTCAAATGTCACCTTCTCGGAAGGTCCTTCCCTATCCCCTGAAATTGCAACCTCTACCCTCCCCTGTGCAGCACCTTCTCACCCTGCCCCTGCCTTCTTTTTCTCTAGACTTTCCTTTTTTTTAATGAACTCTCCATAGCAGAATGTAAACTCCTTAAGGATAGACACTGTTTTAAGAACAAAATCTATAAACTCCCTGCTTTCCCTAGTTATACACTCTGATAGACAGATGGCAAGCAAGTGTACTGATAATAGCCCCAAAGATATCCAGGTCCTAATCCCTGGAGCATTATAAATATTACTGTATTAGTTTGGTTGGGCTGCCATAACAAAGTACGACAGACCGGGGGGGCTTTAACAATAGAAATTTATTTCCTCACAGTTCTGGAGGCTGGAAGTCCAAGATCAAGGTGTTGGCAGGGTTGGTTCCTTCTCAGGCTTCGCTCCTTCACTTGCAGATGACCATCTTCTCCCTCTATCCTCACATGGTCTTCCCTCTGTGCATTTCTGTGACCTAATCTCCTTTTCCTATAAGGACACTGGTTTTACTGGCCTAGGTTCCACCCTAGTGACCTCATTTTAACCTAGTTACCTCTTTAAAGACTTCATCAACAAACACAGTCACATTCTGAGGTACTGGAGTTAGGACTTCAATGTATGAATTTGGGTGGGACATAATTCAGCCCAAATGTGATTAAGAGTCTTGAGCTGGGAAGATTATCCTATATTATCAGGGGCCCCAAGTGTAATCATATATATTATTATAAGAAACTGAAAGAATTGCATGGCAACAACTTGGATAACCTACAAGAAATTGATAAATTCCGAAAAACATACAACCTACCACCTGACCAGCTTGGCTCAGTGGTTGAGCATCAACCTATGAACCAGGAGATTACAGTTCGATTCCTGGTCAGGGCACATGCCTGGGTTGCAGGCTCAGTCCCCAGTGGAGGGCGTGCAGGAGGCAGCCAATCAATGATTCTCATCATTGATGTTTCTATCGCTCTCTCCCTCTTCCTTTATCTCTGAAATCAATAAAAATATATTATTTTTTAAAAGCAAAAAACATACAACCTACCAAGACTGAATCAAGACTGAAGAAATAGAAAATCTGAACAGACCAATAACAAGTAAGAAGATTAAATCAGTAATCAAACATTTTCCAATTAAAAAAGAAGCCAGGATCAGATTTCTTCACTATTGAATACTACCAAACATTTAAAGACAAATTTAGACTTGAAACTCTTACAAAATTAAAAAGGAGAAAGCACTTCCAAGTTCATTCTAAGGAACCAGCATTACCCTGATACCAAAGCCAGACAAAGACACCACAAAAGAAAAAACTACAGAGAAGTGACATCAGCAAAATGGCTGAACAGGAGGTCTTCAGCCCACATTCCCTTACAGAAACAACTCTAAAATTCATATGGAACTACAAAAGACCCCCAACAGCTAAACCATGAAGAACAAAGCTAGAGACATCACACTTCCTGCTTCCAAAATATATCACAAAGCTATAGTAATAAAAACAGACATATAGACTAATGGAACAGAATAGAGTACAGGCCCTAGCTTGTTTGGCTCAGTGGATGGAGTGTCAGCCTGTGGACTGAAGGTCCCGGGTTCAATTCCAGTCACGGGCACATGCCCAGGTTTCAGGCTTGATCCCTAGTAGGGGGCATGCAGGAGGCAACCAATCAATGATTCTCTCTCATCATTGATGTTTCTGTCTCTCCCTCTCCCTTCTTCTCAGAAATCAATAAAAAATATATTTTAAAATAAATAAAATTTCTTTAAAAAAAAATAGAGAGTGCAGAAATAAACCCATGCATTTACAATCAACTGATCTTCAATGACGGTGCCAAAATCACACAGTGGGTAAAGATAGTCTCTTCATAACTGGTGTTTAAAAATTGGATACTGGATATTCAGGTGCAGAAGAATGAAAATGGACCCTTATCTCACACCATATGCAAAAGTTAAGTCGAAATAGATTAAAGACAAACAGAAGACCTGAAAATATAAAATAATAGACGAAAATATAGGGAAAACTTCTTGACATTGGTCAGAGCAATGTTTTGTGTGTTTTTTTAATATGACCCCAGAAGCACAGATAATAAAGCAAAAATAGACAAATAGAATTGCATCAAACTGAAAAGTTTCTACACAGCAAAGGAAAGAATCAATAGAGTGAAGAAACAAACTGTGGATATTCTTCTGCATCTGAATATCTCGTATCCAATTTTCCCAGCAACCTATGGAATGGGAGAAAATATTTCCAAACCACATATTGTATATAGGCTAATATACAACACACCTAGGAATTCAAACAACTCAACAGCAAAAACAA